TATAGCCAATTTCATCGTTGATTATCGTGATGATTCAATCGGCTCGGTTGAGATTGTGCCATGGACTTTATTTTTTAATGGATCAGTTTGTACTCATGGTTGTGGTATCGGCTTAGTTATAATTTCACCTCGGGGGGCATGCTTTGAGTTTGCTTATACTATTAAATCTTATGCGACTAATAATCAAGCTGAGTATGAGACAGTTCTTAAAGGGTTGCAATTGCTCAAGGAGGTTGAAGCCGATGCTATTGAAATCATGGGGGATTCTTTGTTGGTAATCAGTCAATTGGCAGGAGAATATGAGTGCAAGGATGATACGTTGATAGTTTATAATGAGAAGTGCCAAGAACTGATGAAGGAATTTCGGCTAGTAACTTTGAAGCATGTATCTCGAGAGCAGAATATTGAGGCCAATGATTTAGCTCAAGAGGCATCGGGATATAAGCCGATGATCAAGGATGTTCAGATTGAAGTTGCTGCCATGACGGCCGATGATTGGAGATATGATGTGCATCAATATTTACAGAATCCATCTCAGTCGGCTTCTAGGAAATTAAGATATAAAGTGTTGAAGTATGCTTTATTGGATGATGAGCTTTATTATCGAACGATTGATGGAGTATTGCTTAAGTGTTTGAGTGTTGATCAGGCTAAAGTTGCAATCGGCGAAGTTCATGAAAGAATTTGTGGTACTCATCAATCGGCTCATAAGATGAAGTGGTTACTTCGGCGTGCGGGGTATTTTTGGCCGACAATGTTAGAAGATTGTTTCAGATATTACAAAGGGTGTCAAGATTGTCAGAAATTTGGAGCAATTCAGCGAGCACCGGCCTCGGCTATGAATCCCATCATTAAACCATGACCGTTCAGAGGATGGGGAATTGATATGATCGGCATGATTAATCCACCATCGAGTAAAGGACATAAGTTTATATTGGTGGCAACTGATTATTTCACCAAATGGGTAGAGGCGATTCCTTTGAAGAAGGTTGATTCTGGGGATGCAATACAGTTTGTCCAAGAACATATAATCTACCGATTTGGTATTCCTCAGACTATTACGACTGATCAAGGTTTAATCTTTGTGTCTGATGAGTTTGTTCAGTTTGCTGATAGTATGGGTATAAAATTGTTGAATTCTTCACCATATTATGCACAAGCTAACGGGCAAGCCGAGGCATCTAATAAAAGTTTGATCAAGTTGATTAAAAGGAAAATTTCTAATTATCCTCGGCAATGGCATACTCGTTAAGCCGAAGCATTGTGGTCTTATAGGATGACTTGTCATGGATCAATCCAAGTTCCTCCTTATAAGCTTGTTTATGGACATGAAGCAGTTTTACCATGGGAAGTTCGAATCGGCTCAAGAAGAACAGAGTTGCAAAATGATTTGACAGCCGATGAGTACTATAATCTTATGGCCGATGAACGGGAGGATTTGGTTCAGTCGCGATTGCGAGCACTTGCAAAAGTTACTAGCGATAAGGAACGTGTTGCTCGGCATTATAATAAGAAAGTGGTGCCTAAGACTTTTTCGGAAGGTGAGTTTGTATGGAAATTGATTTTGCCGATTGGAGCTCGGGATAGCAAATTCGGCAAGTGGTCACCAAATTGGGAAGGGCCATTCCAAATACATAAAGTTGTGTCTAAAGGAGCATACATTGGTGTAGAGGGAGCAGAGCGCGACGCCTCTTGCGGTGGCGGCGGCGGACATCTCCTTGGCGATGATGCAGGTGCACCTGCCGACGTTGAAAGGGAGAGGGCGGCAGAGGAGGGCGCGGTTGGGGAGCGTCGCCCATGACGAGGCCAGCGCCGCCTCGTTGTCGGAGAGGTCCCAAGCCTCGTACTACGACGACGTCAGCGGCGGCCCACCGCCTGCCCTGCTCGCCCGCCGCGGCTTCCTGTTGGGGACGGCTGGCGCTCGCGGCCGGATCGGCCGCCGCCGCAGGCCCCATTGCCGGCCGGCGGCGGGATAGGGGGGAGAACAAGGGGAAGGGGCGGCGGCGAAGCGCCGTGGGTAAGGGGATGGGAGGATAGAGTTTGGGAGTCTTTTACTCCTATGCCATTAAAAAAGTCGCTGCTGACTTATGTACCCAAAAAAGTTTGGAGTCATCTGTATGCCATGAGAAAAACTTTCCATTTCGTCCACCTTCTGTTAGAACTGAACGGTTCCATAGCTCTGACATGTGGGACCATGTATGAAAATGACTAATTTGCCCTTAAGGATTTTCAGCTCTATTCTCCTCTCTTGCTATCTCCCGAGAGTGCCTGCTCTCTCCCCGTTGCGCTGCACGCCGCCGCACCCTAACCCTAGCCGCACGCCGCCGCCGCCGCCTCGCCTCGTCGGAGTCGTCGTCGCCGCCGCCGCCGCCGCCGTGCGCCCAGGGCGGCGCGCCCCTACGCCAGACCGTCGCGCCTCCTCCTCTCCTCCAGGGCCCACGCGTTCCCGCGTCCTCCCTCGTCGCGCGGCGCGTGGGCGGCACGCGCAGCGGGTGGTGGTTGGTCTGGGAGGGCGGCGGCGTCGCCGGTCGCCGGGTGGTGCGGCGCTAGGGCGCAGATTGGGGCCGTCGCGCCCTCCGTCGATGGCCGCCACCGCAGCTGAGCGAATGAGATATTTGCGGTGGTCACGTAAGATTCGAATCACGATGTGCTAGCTACGGCTACTGCTCTCGTGCTATCTCTAGATCTCTCGCTCTCGCTCTCTCGTGTGGGGTTTCGAGATGCATCTGTATATAGTTTGGAGTTCTCGTCTTTTGCGAGAAACGGAATTTGGAATTATGCGATGGATATGCCTTCGTCATGGATGCTGCAGCTTTCTCTCTCTGTGGGTGGAAGGTTTCCCTCTGCAATCTCGAAGCAGAGCTCCATGTCCAGATTTGATGGAGCTGGAGGAAGTCGTGCTAATGCTCGCAGTTGGTCACTGACCACCTTTTTCGCTGGGATATTATTTTTCTTTCTTAGAAGTATCTCCTGGTGGTTTGATGATGATGTCATTCTGGCTCCTTCATGTGTTTTGTGAGCCGCCAACTTAGAATTGGTGCCCTTTGGAAGCTCTATGTGTATGCTTGATTCGAAGCATTAAATACAAAAAAAAAAGGGCATATGCTTGTGTTAGTGCGAAGAGTAAAATGTGCTGTCGATGATTATTCATTTTTTATGTATTGGACAATAATACCTGCCCACATGAATTCCTGTCACTCACACCAAACTACAATATTTGATTACCCGTTATTTGTCGGTATGCAATAGTTATGCACCTGTTTTTTCTTTTTTACAAAATTTATTTCCGATTTTTCCTTATTTTTTCCACCATTTTCTAATTTTTCCCACATTTTCCTTTTTTTTTTCCCGGATTTTAAACATTTTTAAAATTTATTCTCACTTTTTTCTGATTTTTACCCTTTTTTAATATTATTTTCCATTTTTTCTGATTTTTAACGCCTTTCCTAAATTATTTTTCACTTTTCTGATTTTTTAAACCCATTATTATACAAAGGGCAAAATTGTCTTTACACAGCCCCTAACACCTCTGTTATGTCTCCATACATTCAAAATGGCACACAGGTCAACGAAAGTTGGGCTCATGGCATACATGTAACTCCAAACTTTTTTAAGGCACACAGGTAAGCAGCAACTTTTTTAATGGTATAGGGGTAAAAGACTAAGGGGTGGGAGCTGGAAGGGGAGGGGATAAATATGATGTTTTTTCGTAACAAACCTCGTATTTTTCATGTTTACAGCGCTACTCCTAGGAGTAGAACTCTATCTTCTTCGTGTTCTATTTCTATAAAATACAAGGGTTGTTTCGTATAAAACGGAATGTGGTGTTAGTCGATGGGAGGACGTTCGCGCTATTCCACTCAAACACGAGTTGTTTTTTTTCGCATAAATACCAACACGTGTCATTTGTTTCGAGGAGACAAAACGTGGCACGCATGTAGTGGGAGACCGGCAGAACCGGTGGAGAAACCGAAAAAAAAAAAGAGGAATGGCTCCACAGCTCACCCAATCGAGGAGCTTCTACACCCTACATACTACATATCACACCTAACGAGGAGAAAAAAAAAATTCAAATAAGAGCAAGGATAATAGTATAACTCACTTCCTACTATTAGCTCATTTTAAAGCCAACATATATAATAGATTAGTTATAAGGTTGGCTATATTTTTCTTCTCTTCTCTCTATCTCTCACTTATGCATTCAATATATTTGTCTTGGAGCTTGTGATAAGCTAGCTCTTGCATGAGAGCCCACACCTTTGATTTTTTACTATCTCTCTCCTCCACCTAAGTTTATAGTAGACTTATAGCTCACTATTATACTTGCTCTAACACCACACAACACATGCAGTCCAACACGTAATCAAGCACGAGAAGCCAAAACCCAATTTCAAATACGTGTCACTAGTACCGAGGAGCCAAAAAAATTAAAAAAATGAGAAAATCAGTAGCACTAGGGGTTTTATTAATTGATGAGGTACGTAGAAAACGGAGTGGTCGATTAGCGCGTGATTAATTAAATATTTATTATTTTAAAAAAATGGATCAATATAATTTTTTAAAGCAAATTTCGTATAGAATTTTTTAAAAAACACTGAATTTTTTAAAAAAAAAACACACATCGTTTAGCACATGATTAATTAAGTAATTATTTTTTAAAAAAAATAGATCAATATGATTTTTTAAAGCAACTTTCGTATATAATTTTTTTAAAAAAAAACATATCGTTTAGCAGTTTAAAAAGCGTGCACACGATAAACGAGGAAGATGAGTTGCAAAGGTCAGGAAAAGAACTCAACTGGGCTACATCACCATTGTTTGGTACTATGTCAACTCACCTCACCATTTGCTTTGCCTTTTTTTTTTCTTCTTTTGGTTGGAGTTCATCTGTTGTCCTACAAAATTTTGCAATATTCATTTTCCCACTTGGCTCCTAGGTTATTTATTTGAGGAAAAAAATCAAAATTCTAATGTGAGCTTTCTTCTTGCAACCCAAGTTATTTTAAACCGAACATTGAGCCCCCTAAAGATTCTCAAAAGATCCGAGCAACCCCCAAGTAGATTTGCTTACATGCTGCATTAAGCCATTGACCCAACGGTTTTCATTGCTAACAGGCTGACCTAATTATATCTTGGCATGACGCTACAATCTTTGTAGTTGTGACATTGTATTATGGTATTTCTAGTGTTGTCAAATACAAGGTTACGGTTTTCTGTTTTTCAAGCCAAAGACCACGGCTTAAAGGTGCGTAACTGCACAGTAACCACGACCTTACCTTTAAGATTTGAAAATTTCGAATTCAACTTTTTGGATATGAAATTCACGTGGTTCGTGATAACCACCGTACCGAATGTGGGATGACCGCAGGGCCGGACACATCCTCTAATGCAACGTGTACCATATTTTAGGAAACCTTCTGCTGCACTACATGAAATTAGCATTAGCAAACAGTGCTACGATGTTCATCGACACATTGTTCAATCACATGAAAATTAAAATTACTCAGCGAGACAGTTAAGTACAGTCAACATACAGATGCAACAGTTTGCTTCTATTTGGTCTTTATCCCATCAGTACCTTTAGAACCACCATCATACGCAGAAAGGAAGAACGAACTCTGATTCTTCTGCAGAAACCTACCATGAATTCCCAATTGATTTAGTGAGCATTTTGGCATAAAGTATGCCTAACTATCAGGGATTGCTACAATCTGGTTAGCACGTGATTAAAATTATGGTATTGACCGGAAAATTAATTGTGTGGGACAGATTTTCAAGCATGTTTTCAAAAGTCGGCTAACTTGAGAGATGCTAGTATATATAGAAGAAAAATAACGGCTGGAATTGCATGAAGAAATGAAGGTGCTAACTGACTTCACATATTTGTGTATATTGATGGGAAATGAATATGCTGCTATAGTGATGTACAACAATAAAATCAAGAAAGATTTGCTTACTTGAGAATGTCCAGCAATTTCTGCTGTAGTTTGTTGAGTGCATCTTCTTCCATGTTGACAGACGCAAGTAGCTCCGGCAATTTCACTGCAAAGCAGCAAGAAGTGAACCCTTTCAAACATTGTACTTTGCCTTCCAAATTATTCTGTCTCAACATCCTACCGACACAAAACATTCATCTTAAAACAAAACCTTGTATTTCATTCAGCTAATGGGGATTCCAATTTATTCATACTTGTGAACAATTATCCAGACTCTAGTTCAAACTATAATAGAATACACAAGGGTCACAATAGTCGATTTTACCCTCTTCAACTATAGCCCTAACCTAAAAATCAACCCTCAACTATGAAATTGGACATTTTCAAGCTCAACTACCAAAACCAGTTAAAGCACTACCAAGAGCAATCCTAACAATTTGTTTGACATGGCAACTATTTCTACATTGCTTGCAAACTAGGTGCCATGTTAGCAAAAAAGTAGATAATTTGGATGCCAACTCTGCAAAAGAACCACTGTACAAATCAGATTGGACTGATCTTAAGGGGTTCTTTTGATAGTTCAGGGGTGTACACCGTATTGTTTCATGGCTAAGAATTGATTTCTAGACTCAACACAATAGATGAGGAGGGTAAAATAAATTTTACTCAGTCACAACAATGAATTCAAAAGTGAAACTGATATAATTGGTTTCAACAAGCGAATAAGTTTAGAAATGAAATAAAACCTTGAAGAAGTAAATTTATATGTTACATTCAGGAAGGAAGTAAACTTTTGAACAGACAATAAACCTTGTTCCTAATTGTTTCCTTACTTTACTGAATAATCATTCATTGGTGGATATCTCATGTAATCAAGAACTGCACATACCAAAAAGGCGCAGTAGATGCTCAGCTCCATATATAGTTGAGGGCGAAACATCGCCTTTAACCTCTTCAGAGTACTGCTGTCGCTCTTTCTTATACAAAAGCATTGCAGGCAATGCTTTATCAAAGTAGCATCGCAATCCTTTCAAAATCTCAGCGTAAGAGTCATTTATCCTTCAGTACAAAGTACAAACAATACAAAGTTTTAATGGGTCTTTTCAAGAAAAATAAATATTTTTTAAAAAAACAAGCTTGACAGACACAGATGATGCAAATAGGTTTTGGATAAGAATAACATAAAATCTAAACCTTTGTTGCATAAGGACAGAATTTCCATAATTATGGTTATTAATATGAATATTAAAATGATTTTAGGACATTTCGATATAGTGAAATTTAACCAGAAAGAGTTAAAGGTCAGTTGATGGTTTTCAGCATAGTACAAAGAAAAAACGGCAGACCAGCAGTCTGACCATAGGAAACCAGAATTGGCAACCTCAATGGTTCTGTTTGCTTCATGGACTGTTCATGCAATTAGACAGGTAAAAACAGGCAAATTCTGGGTTACATGTGAAATCTATGAACCATGAAAATCTTGAACCATGCAGCCAATGTGCAACATGAAACATTTGTCCAGGGCATGGACCAATAAATGCTGGAACTCTCCTTGTGAAGGCACACAGTACAACAGAAATAATCCCACCGGTGAGGCCCAGCCACTGAACCAGAACAGATGCATTTCAATAGCTGGTTTGACTTTTGGTGCTTTGGTTTTCAGTCATGTTAAGTAAGAGAATGACATGCACATAGTAAACATACTGTTGGATTATGCTGCACATAATAATCAGTAATCAAGCGCACAGAACACATAGGATGAATTACAAACCCTAAGCTAAGAGTGGGAATTCTGTGGTTGTGCTGTTGCAAAACAAAGATAGAAGGTGCCAGGTGCAGCAATTGCTGTTTGCAATGTTCACATGTGACGTGGTTACAGTAGTCCACATCATTAGTTGATTTATTTAAGTTAAATTTATCCTTTAACCACAACTTACAAAGCATGCTATACTCAGCATTGTTCCACAAAGATATAATTGGCCATAGGTTTTGTATAACTTTGGATGGCAAGTTGATTAATGGCATGTGGGTCATGGGGCCAATAAAGTGTGTGCCACACTGCCACTAATTTAGCAACAAATTGGCCTATAAATGTCAAATTTGCATAAGTTTTGGCATATTATGGGTATAGCACAAAGATATGAATCAACAATACATGTCATTCCCATGTCCGATACATACAGGATACAGCCATATGCAGCATTCCAGTGTATCTGGACATGTCAGTCAAGTTTAGCATTTAAAATTAACAAAATGAGATACAGCAGGCCCACCATCTGCGTCTCATAAAAATCCACAATTAGCCCAATGTCATACTAAGCCCAAATCCCTCTGTGGAAGCATACTAGAAAACTTGAGAAAACTAATGAGCATTCTTGAGGAAATGCATAATCAGAAATTCAGAATACCATTTTAAGGTCGCATTATTCCTAGAAGCTATCCTAGGGTGAAAACATATTAGTTGAAGATTGAAGGGAAAGGCGGCACAAAGACCTGTCCAAAGGTGATAGTCCCTGTCTTTGTTTTAGATTATCCTGCTATATGTGGTGGAACCTACCACAATTCATGAATATTCATCTGAATAGCCATTTTTTGATAAAAACCTATAATATACTACACAAACGTAACTTTTCCTAGTTTGTCAGTGAGTAATCTTAAACTCAGCGATTCTCATGCACCAACATCCTCCTTTTTTTTTCTGTTTATTTGTTAAAATTAGAGTAACTTCCAATATTTTCTGAAAAATACATCAATTCTAATTCAAAAACATGTTAGGCTATAATATCTTTCCGCACTTTATTTTATCCCTTCTTCAAATTAAGAGAATTATAACTTTTCTGCACCTCTGAAAGTTTACTCGTTCCCTTATTTGCGGCTCATTCTCTCAATGACATGTTGGTCCAGGGTCCACATGTCAGCAAGACATTAGGGGTAAAGGGATCACATGGATTTCCGAGTAGCAAATAAGGAATTGCACTAATGACACTAACATTTGTTTAAAACATCATGGTGTATGCCTCAATACCTACAGTAGAATTCCGAATCCCGTACTGTTTATAACTTGCTGTGTCAAAGATATGCCAATAAATCAGAATTTATGTTTATATAGAATGCTTACTTGTTATCCTTCTTTGTCCGGTGCTCCAAGTACTTCTTTAGAATATCATCGACCGTGGGGGACCGAGGTAGCTTCACAAGCTGCAGTACAAGGAAATTGGCTCAGGAAAGGAACTGGTAGAATGATAAACAGTTACAGTTAACTTTGGCATACATCACTGAGGACAAACTCATCGTATTCGTAGTTTTCTAACAAGTACCTTTTCACATCAGGGATTAGTGCAACATAATGACTTGAAACACTCAAGTCTATCTAGTTGTTAGTAATTCTTACTTCTTGAAATAGTAACCTTTTTGGGGAAACTTAATTCTTATAAGTTTCCTTAACATGAGAAATGAACATGACAACATATTGGCATCAGTCAATCATGTTCAAAAAGATGCAGAAAGTCCAGCTCCACAGATACACGAAATATACAAAAGATACACAATATAACTAATGATCTAGGTAAGTTTGAGTGGTATATATCAAGGTTGCTTATCTAACAGTAAGGTGGTATATGTCAAAATTTAGCTGCGGAATGTACAATGAACAATATATCCACTGGTCAAGATTGCTAGTCTTTTTTTCTGAACGAAATAAAGATTTCAAGTATTCATTCTCTTATTGGTTCCTATTTGATACAAACATGCTTCTCTTAAGTACCTGTTGTTCCCATGCCAACTCAGACACAATATTCAATTATAATTGAACAATGAAGGTTGTGATTTGGACATAAATAAATCAAAGACAGCTCAGGGAAAGATTTGAATACCTTACCCAGCTGCGTGACAAACTCCCAATCATCAACAAGTTGCTTTTTTAGCGTTGAAGGAAAATGTGACATGAAGAGACTCTCAGATGATTTTCTTTCTTTCTCCTGGATCAACCAGGGCAGAGTTGTCATTATGTTTACAAATATACCACAAAACAACTTGATAGATAAAATGATCTACCACATGCTTGCCAAATATAGCTGAAAGCTTCAAAATGTTAAGTTTGTCAGTCTCCATAACCATAATAGGTAGGTAACGAATTCTCTTCGCACAATGTAAAACATTAGTTCATAGTTCCAAACTACCAATTTAAATTTAACATGTGTTCTAAATTTATCCATACTAACAATTCTTACACAGCTAGATTATTTTTGCTGGTAAGCAAACATCATGTAGTCCAGAAATCGGATTGTTGTGTAAAGAACTAAACGAAGCACCGAAGCAGCAAGATTTCCTAAAATTCATCATTACAATTTTAGAAATGTTGAGAAAATGAAATAGTCATCATCATACAACAAAAGGTCAAGAACTTTAAGTGTTATACTTATATTGTAAAAAGAGAAGAAAGGTCCATATGGACCATAGAATGTTCCCATTTTCCACATGTATGATGAAAAATGAACATAACTGCCAAATCATGTACTTCCTCCGTTTCACAATGTAAGTCATTTTAGCATTTCCTATATTCATATTGATGTTAATGAATCTAGACAGATATATATGTCTAGATTCATTGACATCAATATGAATGTGAGAAATGCTAGAATGACTTACATTGTGAAACGGAGGGAGTAGTACTAGAAATAAAAAGAGAATTAATAAAAAAGTATTATTAGTTCAAAGGAGCAGAAATATGCTTAATATCAGTAGTTTAGAAATGATATCTCAAAAGGCAAATTGCAGTATCATAATTGATGGAAAATGAACTTCATGGAAATCAAATACTTCACAATAAAACATATTTGAAAGTGAGAGACACCTCAGTCCCACCAGGCTGACTTTTGCGTTTCTTCCCCTTGACTGCAGTTTTAACATCACAGAGATCAAATGTAATAAGTATCACACAAATGAGAAGAACCAAGAACTTTGAAAAATGTACGAGTGAACTTACTAATAATCTTGGTGTCTTCTTTATCAGTTTTTGCATCTGCTGAATGCAATTACAATAGGTAAGACATATTTAAGAGGAACAAATTACAAAGTAAGACATAAAATGGAAACCCATCCTTTGGTGGAAGCATGGGAAAAATTTTGGTATAACCACTATAACAGCATGGGAAATTCCATTCTCAATGTAGCAAATAGAGTGGTAGCACCCCATTAAGAATTCAACTTCAAATTGAATGTGTCAGAAACAAAAATATTTGTTGCAAATAGGAACTTCTATTGCAAATAGGAACTTCTATGTTTTCTTTCCCTTTGGTTTACCATTTGTCATCATTTCTTATTTCTAGAAGTACAAATAAAATTGCAGTTCAAATTCAATAAACAGATAGTTTAACAACTGAAAAGAACATATACAACGTTCTGAGAGTTTTCATGCTGAATTGGTGTCAAAGCCATGGCAGTTTTCATGATTGGACTGAGAGATAGTTTCCACCATAAAAAACAGAAATATGATCATGAGTTCATAACCACACCGATATGAAAAAAGATGAATGGGAAATTTCAGAATGTCCTATATGCACAGTACCAACGCCCATAACAGTAAGCTACCACGTACTTGTACCAGAAGCTATCACAAAATTACTCCAAGATTGGTTCATAACTCCAAACTTCGGAAGAAATATCTCCAAGGGTGAAGTTTGAGCTTAATCCATCAATGTAAATGATCACAGCATTCAGTTATAACCATCACATATTCACAATCTCTTTGCCATTTGGCATTTCTACTCTTTTAAGTACAGATTAAGCACTGCCAGGATGATGCTTCTATTAGCAAAATACAAAATTTATCATAGAAACATGACACTCACAGCTACAGAACAAATTAAAAACAACAATTTGGCAAAATAGTTCCTAGAAAGGAAGCTCCCAGTGGAATAGTCTAGACATGATCCAACAGCACAAACATTGATTTAACATACATCTAGCTTGTCATGGATAGAAGTAAAAACTATTGACCCAGTAAAAAAAGCATGTGTCATCAATTCCAATGGAAAGAAGAGGGAGGCATAAGCTAACCATTAGAGCCTTTTGGCTTATGCTGCGCTGACCGTCCAGATTTTACGCTTTTGTCAACTACTTGGCTCTTTTCAAGCTCTTGTTGTTTGCGGATATTTTCGTCGGTCAATTTCAGTAAGCGATCATTTGTGACCCATTCATCCCAGCTGTACTCATTGAAAATAAACATATTAAGAAGACTGTTTACTTGAATTAGGAGAGCAGAAAGACAACTAAATAGCATCAGTGCAATGATAGAAACAAGCCCCTCAACAGGATTCATGAAAATACTATTAAGAAAAAAAATTGCACCGTAAGGGCAAAGATGTGAGACTACCCAAACATGGTGGTAGACAACAATATGGCACTGCCAGAAAAAAAATAATACATTAGAACATGCATAAGGTCATTCATATCCAACTCAAGGTCCAAAATCCAACTTAGACACTTTTAAACTGTCAAGGGCCTCAGTGAAATTTTTCATCCAGCACAACTATTAAAAAAATTTGTGTTGCCATCACTTCAATTCACACGTAGAAAATGGATTGGTCATATTTAAATATATGTCAGTCATCCGGGCTCCAGGCACTCACTCGTATCCTAAAACAAAAGTCAACAAAACGGGTATAGGATCACTTCCCCAACTGAGACACAGATCATGTTCTACAGATGAATTCATCAACATAATCATTCAATTATCATATTTAAAATTATGTTCCATAAACGAATCTAATGGTTTCATTTACAAGTGAATCTATAAATAGCATTTGATATATTGGTGGTCAAAACTATAAAAGTTTGATTCGATGGTTTTAAAAAACATCATATATTTCCATTACACAACAAAGAGACACAGAGTAGCCAGAGCCTGTTCTGAATTCTATGGATTTTATATGATGCTATGATGTAGTTCTGAATTAATCAGATTGAGGCCAGTGAGATGCACGAGAAGCTTTGCATAGTTTCACTTTCACATATCTCATGCTACTATATGTAATAATAATATCAATTGCTTGATAGAACAAACATCAAATGCATCATATAAGTACAGGTACAGATATTCCTTGTACGGTTAAAAAAATATTCACATCAACATAAAGAACTCGAAAGCATTGGTAATAAGTTATTAGCTAAGCATGGAAGACTTATCGATCATCCATGGTATGCACTTGCCTCTTATTCCAACCCTACAAAAGAAAAGAGAAAGATTCGTTGGTTCCTCGATATCGAAAGGGAACACCCAAAGTTAATGATTTATTTTTAAGCACTTGTCATGGTGTACAATGGCGACAGAGACTTAGGGGACTTACAAGATAATGGACATGATACCGCCACTCATCCTCCTTGTTTTCGGACTTTTGAACCTTGAGAAATCCAAGGGGGGAGGGAAATGAAGACAATCTATTAGGGAATGCAATTAACAAGCAAAAGAAAGGCTAGGAAATGATGAACGGAATAGCACAGTGCACAGATATGACCTAGACTAGACTAGCAGAAAAGCACGGCAAGCAGAGGGAATTTAATTTCCTGGTGCGGAGGATTTTGCACAGTAATTAGTAAATTACTAAATTCCCTTGGTAAATACTAGTAATACTAGTAAAAATTTCAAAGTATCGGAGCGGAGCAGCGCAGCTATGGAGGCGAATGCTTGTTTGTTTGATTGTTTTGTTTGGTCTGCATCCGAATTGGGTAAATCCTAGCGCCATTTCTTCGCAAAATTAAACGAAACCCTAGGTTGGATTGGAGCGGAATGGAACGGGAGATAGGGGGGGAGAAGAGAGGGATTAAGGAGCGGACCTTGGCCTCGTAGAGGAGCGGGCCGTGGTAGGCGAGCACTCTCTCGCCCTCCTTGAACGACGGCTCCTTGGCAGCGGCGGATTCCGATCCAGCTTGGGACATTGGTGGGGGTACTTTGGGGGAACAAACAAACTGTTGCTTGTATTGAGGTTTAGGGTTCTGAAATTCGGAGAAGAGCTCCTTCTTCTTCCAGATCTAGAAGAAGAGAAGCTAGGGTTAACGAACGAACGCCAGGAACGACGAGAGATGAATCAGAAAGAGGATGTGGATGGATGCTCACCAGGATCTCCTCCCCTCTCCTGCTCTGCTCGCCAGGAACGACGAGGAGACGGGAGATTTCTTTCTTTTACGCACGAGCACGAGTCGTCCAAGAATCTTTAGAGAGAGATACTTCAATACACAGCACTCACTTATCAGGAAAAATAGAGAAAATTGTGATTTTGCTATCGCGCTGGAATACTATTCCTTCAAAGTGATTCATTAAAATGCAACTAAGGGTGTTCACTGAAATGCTATTTTGGGTCTTTTTGGTTTCTAGAAATGATTTAGCTCTATTTTCATTTTTGTTCGGACCAAAATACCCTTGCCTTGCCTCAGATAGGTTTTTACCGGATGGAATCGATCTCATCCCGTTGGCATCGAAGCTAACTGAGGAGGAGCGACATCGGCAGCGGCGACATCGTCGCGCCTCCGCATTGGGTCCGGCTCCGGCGCCGGCGCCGGCCCCCGCCACTCTCCGACCTGCTCCTCCCCTCCCTCCTGCCCCAGTCCACTCGCGCCGCCACCTCGGTAATGACCTCGGCAGGTGTCGACGAAGAGCGTGGAGGCCTCAACGATGGCGGCCGCGGAGGCGTTGGCGTTGGCGGCAGCACAGGTGGGAAGGAGCGCGCCGAGCCTAGCGGTGTTGACGGGGAAGCCGAGGAGGAGCGAGTCGCGGAGCAGGTGGCAGAAGCACCCCTCCCCGCCGTCGCCACTGGGGGAGACGCCGCGGAGGAAGGCCGCGCAGCGGGCCTCCGAGGGCACGGGCGCGGGCCGCGCGGGCGGCGCCACCACCGCGACGTGCGCCAGGCACGGCGCCACCGACACTATGGTCGCCGCGCACGGCGTCGCCGGCGGCACCTCCGAGATGACGGGGCTGTGCCGACACCACCCCGGTGCCGGGAAGACGGGGACGTGCGCCACCACCACTGCTGCCATGTTCGTCCGCTCGCGTCGCTGGGTCACCGCGGCTGTCGCCGAAACGTCGGGGTGCTCGCTAGGTAGACGCCGGCCTCCCCTCCCCGCCACGCCTGCTGCGCCCTCCCCACGCCCGCCGGCGGCAGCCGGCCATCGCCGCTCCCGAGAGAGGGGAAAAGAGAGATGAGTGAGTATGACAGGTGGGGCCCGCATCAGGGGTATTTTGGTCCGAACAAAAATGAAAATAGAGCTAAATCATTTCTAGCAACCAAAAAGACCTAAAATAGCATTTCAGTGAACACCCTTAGTTTAGGATAGCATTTTAATGAATCACTTTGAAGGGATAGTATTCCAGCGAATCCATTCTTTTGCGATAGCAAAATCACAATTTTCTCGGAAAAATAGGCCAAGTAGAAATACTCCCTCCGTGTGAGGTTATAAGATATTGATTTTGGTTAAAATCAAACTGCTTTAAATTTGACTAAGTTTATAGGCAAATATAGTGATATTTACATTACCAAATTAATTTTATTAAATTAATAATTAAATATATTTTTATAATAAATTTATCTTGGTTCAAAAATATTACTGTTTTTTTATATAAACTTAGTCAAACTGACTTTGACACCAAAGTTAAACCATCTTATAACCTAAAATAGAGGGAGTAGTAAGTTTTAGAGGGTTATGACCGTTGCAATACAAACCGCCAATCAGAGCTCTTTTATCTAGCGAGTGTGTTCTTTTGGATGGGTTAGATTAACACATGATTAATTAAGTATTAACAATAAAAAACTTGAAAAATAAATTAATATGATTTTTTTAAATAACTTTTCTATATAAACCTTTTACAAAACACGTACCGTTTAGTAGTTTGAAAAGTGTACATGCGCGTTTGAAAAGTGTACATGCGAAAAGGGAGATGAGTTTCGAACTCATTAGAGAGAAGGGGCTACGTTCTTTTGTTGAAGATCTCAACAGCAAGGAACGAACGCAACCCAGAAGTTCCGAGGGGTCAATGAGATTCGTTGTACCAGGAGTAGGGAGTAGGTGAGACCAAACAACTTGGTTTGGAATTTCTTTTATTTTTTAGACTTTGTTATATTTTTTTAATTTTATTAATAGACATTTCCGAAAAATATTTTTGAGAATTGAACCTTTTGGACACGCTGGCATGGCAATATGACATTGCTACGCTGCTACGCGTGGCGTAATTTAGTAATACACTTCGAAAAGGTCTATTAATAAGATAAAAAAATAAAAAAAAGTCTAAAAAAAAACTCCTTAGTTTGACATCCAACTTCACCTCTTCTAAAGCTAAAACCGAACTAAATAATTTTACCAATAATTTTACCTCCACCCAAAAGGGAGCATTATTTAGCTCCACCCAAAAGGGAGCGAAATAGGCTAGAGTGTTCTCATGAAATGAATTAGAGAGGTGATGCTACATTGTAGACCGAACTAAATAGTTTTAGCTCCACCCAAAAGGGAGCGAAATAGGCTAGAGTGCTCTCATAAAATGAATTAGAGAGGTGATGCTACATTCATTGCTACGTTTCACAACTCCACTCTAGATCCAGCTATGAGAATTAAATTTAAAAGTAGAGCAATGCTAACATTGTGTTCTTTGCCCTAAGTTCCTAACTCACATCTATCGTTTTCCACGCACACGCTTTTTAAATTACTAAACAGTGTTTTTTCAAAAAAAATATCTATAGAAAAATTACTTTAGAAAATCATATTAATTTATTTTTAAGTTGTTTATAGCTAATACTTAATTAATCGTGCGTTAATCCATAGCTCTGTTTTGCGTGTGGAGATTGATTAGTTCCCAACCCTCCTCCAAAAGAACACAGCCAAGTAGGCCCTAGAATACTGACTTAAAGGTTGAAAAAAAAGGTATTTTCTTCTTTGCATTGGCATTATCCTATTCTTGAACGGGTGGATCGAAATGTTCTGGTAATGTTGTACTGCCAGAATATATAGATGTTTCTGTATCGAGTGAAACCCCCATAGTCCATACTATCCATGAAAGTAAATGCAAAGCACAACATAACCAGATCTGTACAAACGAAGGGCAATGACAAGATGCCTAATGAATCAGTGAAGAACAAATAGTTTGATTTCTGCATCCTAAGATGGTGTCCTAGAAATCCATAATAGGCACTCCTTCCTAAGAGGAGAATCCGCAAATATTGCTTTGACAAAATTTTGTACCTGCACAAAGTAAGCAGATTTGTTAAATTTAGCCTAATTATATTTTCAGTTTTAGAAAACTGAAGTATCAAAATAAAACAAACATGATAGTAAACAGATTTCTAGGACTATCAAAGAAAACTCGTGACTCCAAAGGTAGCCCAAAAATCTACTCGCTCACCTCAGACGATGTGAAACCACAATTAGTTAACTCCCCACTTTCCCAAGCGGCCGTGATGGATTTCAACGACATATCAAGCAGCTCTGAGTAATATTGTAGATCACTTTAGTATTTTCTTGAGGGGAATTAAAAAAACATTAAACATATACTATGAAAATCATAGCAAGGTGAAATATACCCGCTAGCTTCCGGAACTTCTTCAAAGGTCGTATAATCTCATCCAACTCGATCCAAGTTTGATGGTCCAAGAACTCATTCTCAACCAGGGACAGAAATAGTGATGAGAGGTTTTCAAGAGCCAAATGGATAAGACCTTGCAGCTGTCCGCATATCACATATAATAAATATCAAGAATGATGAGCTCAAACCTTCCAAGGATAATATGTCTCACCTGTAATGTCTCCTCTGCTGCCATGTCATCTATTAGGAGCATATCTTTTGTAATTCTAGAAAAGACAGATCCAAGGATGTAACACATACTTCTCTTGTAAATTGATCTTGGCAGTATCGATTCCCACATAATGTGTATTTTTTCTAAAATGAACACAACCTGAATGGAAGTCAATATATACCATAATAATGCATCAATGTGCAGAAGTATGACCTATATTTTGTAACTCAAATTTGAAGAAAAATCAAGACATTTAGTTGACAGATTGAATTGGTTGTGATTGATGATTTTGCGCTAGATAAAGAAGATAATTGTGATTCCATTGCAGGACATGGATAAGATGTTAAGAACAAATTCTATTCTACTGTTGACCACTCCAAAAGTACAGTAACCGGTCTAGGTTATTCACTACTATTTCTACAAGGTCCAAGTAACTGACATCTTTGCAATGAAACATACCTGCTCAATACTGAATTTTGCTGATTCATAATGCTGAGGTTGGTGTGTATTCTGAAAACCATCAGCGCCATCTATAGCCTGAATGTAATTTAACAAATTAGGAGCTCCAAATGTGTCCTCAAACCATTTTTGATGTTTAGTATTTTCCCCAGACTTCAGATTTCAACATTTGCCTACTTCCAAAAACAAATAGATAACAAAATACCTCTATTAAGTTTGCAGTAACAAGCTGGATTTGCCTTGTAAGTACACCATCTGCCATCTGAGAGAAGGTTGGGGCTAAATCCACAAAAACAACTAGTTTCTGTAGGTCACCAGGAAAATCTGCACGGTACTGGAGAAAAGCATCAAGAAAGGTCAGTAAAAACGTAACACAATTTAAAAGAAAAGAAGGAATCTTTAAGTTCAACAGGAAAATAATACAGTGAGGTTGCACTTGCCCAAGGGAAAAACAGAGGTCCATAAATGTTATGATAGGCAGAATTATACAGTTACCAATCTATGATGTAAAAACACTTAATCCCATGATTATAGAATGCTAGTTCAAACCAACAACAGGAGAAGGTAGGCTGGACAGCATGCAGATAGTGATTTAGCAAAGAAAAAAAAATCAATCTGCTTTCCACTGAAACTGACAATTAAAGAACATCGTAAGAGCGAAGAGAGGTCATAAAACATAAGAATAAAGGATGGAGACAATACATAGTCCATATGGCAAGTCTATATTCCAGTATGAAGGACTGCAGAAAGTATACTCACGAAAATCAACACATCAGGATCAATCACTATAACAAACAGCAAAGAGTAGGATCCACAAACCTCAAATGCAAGACCAAGAATTTCTTGGGACAAATGGTAGAAGTCGTTGTGAATAATGGCAGCTACTTGATTGATACTATCGAGTTGCTTCTCTAGCTGCAGAAGACCCAAAAAAAAAAGAAGAGGTGAGTGCCAAAGTTCAATTAGTTTGTATCATGGCTCAGTAATAGCACCTGTAACTCTTGGTGGCTTGGGAAATATGGAATCATAGAAATGACTGTGTTTAACGGCGTCGGTCCTAATGTAATGACTGTCATTATGGTGGCTAATGAGTGTGGCCTTTGGTGTATGGGAGCTTCTTTGCTTAGGGAGTTCCTCAGTAGGTCGCTATCCCCACTTGGGTGAGGTCATTGTTTTGTGGTTTCATGTAAACTTAAGTCCTGTATGTCTGTAGGGTGAGGGATTGCTTCTGCTTCCCTCCCCGTGTTCTCTTGCACTCTTATGAAATGATACGCAACTCTCTTGTGTATTCAAGAAAAAAAAATAGCGCCTGTAACATAGAATTAGTGTAATGTCTGGGATGCACCAAATAGCCACACATACCACCACCAGGAGCTGCGGCATGACAGATAAGTCAGCCAGCTCCTTATATTTTGCTTAGGTTTATCTTCAGTCCATTTGTTTCATTCTCAACTTAAGAGTTTGTTAGACAGACTTGCGATGTGAGGACCAACACAGCAACACTATTATCTCATGTACCTTTTCTACTCTCCCACCCCCTGCTGTCGGTTAGGACTTAGGGTTCCCTGTCTAGGGCCTTGCCAACTGAAGAATAGAATATGGTATGATCTACTAAAGGGAGGTTTCCCCATAACACAAAGCAGCAAGCCAGCAATTAAATTGTTTGAACAGTTTTACTGTGTTGCCCTAAAAAACAGTTTTACTGTGCGTTATTAAACCATAGGGATGCACCAAATAGGAGGCACATTAGCTACATGAAACACTTGCTTAAACTAAGCATGCCATGACCATGTGACTACAAAGGGTGTTTTACTGTAGCTAAAACTAAGAATTATTTCCTCTACATTTACATCTATTAGGGTGTAGTTTTAGTTAAAGTAGAATACACACTGAGGGAAATCATCAAGCCATGCATATTAAATTGAATCTTATTCTACTAAGTTTT